TTGCCAAACTACTTAGCGACTCCGAAACATCTCCCGCCAAGCCAACGGGGGTGCTGTTTTGCCATAGCAGCCAGCTACGCTGAATACGTACTGCATTTTGTAGGTCCTATTATCGTACCCACTGAATGTTGTTATTCACTATATGTGTGTGGCTTCTCTGGCATTTCCCAAGGCAAAGAGTTCAGGTTATGCATTAGACCGTCGCTATGACTGACCTTTCTCGCTGCAACGAATGAATTAATAAATCAATGAAACAATGACTGCTGCCAGACGCCGACAAAATGCGCACGCGCGTTTCCTCGTTTTACTTAAATATGGTCGCTGGCGATTGGGAGGTCAACCAATGACACTTTGACGACTCAAAACCGTGGAGTTGTGACCGTTTAGGTAATGACCATGTGTAGACGGGAAGTAGCACATGACGATAAATCAATAGGTGGTAAAAATACGGATGAATCAGCGCACACGGTGATGTAAACTTAGCCACGACTCTGGCTACAGTTTCAACAACCGCGTGTTGCATTTTCCACCGTTTTCCAAAATGCGGAGAATCCTGGTTTTCCCAGCGAAAACTGAATCAGCTGCGCGTCGCACAAACTGCTGTCGGTTACATGAATCGACTTTGATGCGTCGCTCGACACGCTGAAATTGGAATCGCGCCTACAGACACTCCGGCTGCCGAGGTATAGCACAAAACATAAAAACATAAAATCCGGCCCAATCCATCTTGGCTGCTTCTGTACATGTAACACATGACACGTGTAGCTAAACGTCTGGCTCTATGGAATTTCCCGTTCAATTGGTACCTAAGCATGTTACTTTGTTGTAACCTCGACACCTGGTTGCCAAGATGTAGTTACTCTTTGGAATAGCTGCTCATCGGCTTTGTCATCAGTCACATTTTCGGGCAGAACCGATGGGGCCCAACACGTCAGAGCCCCGGATCACAGCGGCATGCGATCTACCCGTGGAGAAGCGCCTCGCTCACCCTCTCATCGTGCCCAAATCTCGCCGTTCAGCGACCCACTGTTCGGCCCGTACACAGCAGTACGCAAAACGGCACAGACACACACAGACAGACGCACCCTTAGCAAATAGTGTATAGACACAGGCGGGACCCGCCCGCTTCGCTGGCGATTGTCGATAATATTTTGAGATGTGCCGACTACTTTGTTTTTTTTTTGGCACTTCCGAATCAGTCAGTTTATCACTGCATCCTAGCACTCGCTAAGCCATCAATGAAGAAAACGAAGGCTGCCTTTGTAAATCAAGCGATATTTTGCAATTTCACTCAAAAATGAAACCGGATAAGTGCTGCAAAAGCTTGAAACACTCTGTTTAGACAAAAAGATGAGCTATTATTGCGCGAATTCAACGAAACTGTATACTATGGCACTTAATTCTCCGATGTGGCGTTTACCACAGTGGCCGTTTTCGAGGAGCACTTTGACTTTGGGAATGGGATATCACATAGTCCAAAGTGGCGCACTTGTTCAAACTTTGGCCAATGTGTTTCTCGGTAACAAGCCCTGCCGCACGCTGGGCCGATCACAAACATTATTTTATTCACACTGGTATGCCACGACGGTTGTCATGACGACTGCTATCCCGACTGCAGGGAAGTACCACAGTGCTGTTACAAAGCGTTGACAGCGTAAACTGGAGAACCAAATCATTAAAATTGACAACATTATTGCGCCTTAACGGCGCTGCAGTGGCACGGTCTAGTGCTGTTATTAGACGCAACTGATCCTAAGCAAGACCGTGTGGTAAGATATGTTCATCCGGACATTTTTCTGGCACTTCCCCTTCACTATTACAGTGACGTAACTGAGTTGCGGCCTGGCATTGCCGCACCACAGCATTACCGCCGCGTCGGCCACGCCGCTATTCTCACGAATATGTACATCGGGTGATCGTCACAGGGTGCTTCCTCTGGGAAAATATGGAGGAACAATTTTTGCCACGCTGGGTGTATAGCAGCGATCATAGGTGCAGGGACGGAACCCAGTTTGCAGCATCATTCCCAGTTTCGGAGAACGCGCAACATTGAATCTAGGGCAATGCATTGAACTTGGCGGGCTTGCAGCTGCTCAAATCCGACATGGCGGACCTGCCCGAGGTCGAGCCTTTGTCAGAGGAGCTGAATGAAACCAAATTGTCACCTGGACGGCTACGCTGCACCTCTGCATTGTTAACATTGGCGCGCCGGACCCCACCAGTGTGTGATTGAGGTAGTTTTAGACGACGGCGGTGGTGTGCTGTCTGGTGCCTGGCAGGAAGAAGAGCATTGTGGACATTGCAGCATTTCATATTGCGTCTACTATGACACGAAGCCTCCGAAGGTCGTGGCGCATGGCGGTAATCAAGATCAGAACCGTTACGCCATCGTGCCTGGTCTTTATGCTGCGCACACACATATCATTGATAATTACCCGATTTTACGAAAAAATATTGTGCACAGCATGCAGAAATAAGCGAGAGCACAAAGCAAACCGTTAGGGGCGGAAGAGAGACGGACAAACCACAGACGAGCAAGCAGGAATCGACCACCTATGTCTTACGCTGTGCACATCACTCACAGCGGTTTTCTTACGACTTTAATGTCGGGCTGTCTACATGCGACGGCCGCAGGACAAGTTTGCCCGGCATCCCGTACCCTCGCAACCAAATGTTGACATGATTGCTTTTACATCTGTAGCTTCTTTATCTTCACAGTATTGAACACTAAACAAGTCACGCAGAGGTGTGTTACATTTGTTCTCATGTTCCGGTGCTGGCCATACTTACTCACATCGTGGAGAAACACAGCTATGCATTTTAAGCCAACTTCAGAGTAAAAAGTCATGACAAACCTTTCCAAAACAGCCCAAACATTTATCTGCAAAAGAACTGACCGTGCCTAAGGCAAATGCATACATATGCAAGGCCCAAAAAGCAGGGTGCAGCCATGTTCACTTTCCACAGCCAATGTACTGCCGCAGCTGTTAAGCTGAGCGCGTGGCCGCAGCCTGCTCAGCCCAAGCCTGATGTCGCAGCTGTTAAGCTGAGCGCGTGGCCGCAGCCTGCTCAGCCCAAGCCTTATTAAGCCACCTGAGGCGCAGATAAATACGTGTCGTCACCATCTTCCATGTGATTCGTTTGTCTAGCGCGCAGTATTTTTCCAGCAGCAGCTTCGTGAGGCGGTCGACGATACCAATGTCTCTGTCAATGCTTCATCCCGTCACCAGCTGGAACATGACCTCGAAAGACTCGACAACCTTTCTCCAGACCGGCGGTGCTACCATCCGACCATCTCGACTGTTCGAGTGAATCCAGCTGTCTGGCACAAAGCTGGGTGGCGCCGCGCGTACTTTATCGATATATACCTTTGACGCTTGGTACATGACATAAAACACGCATGGGCTGATAAAACTGGGCCGGGGGGAGGCAAAGGGCCCAAGGAATCAGCGAAGTATTTCATGGGCGCATGGATGAAATTATGATGTATCTCGTGTTAAGAACAAGATTGTTTTGGGTGATCGTTTTCGGCGCGTGAAATACTAAACAACATCATAAATGACGGCGCCGTAATTTTTGACAAGCTCAACTTTTCAAAGTATACCCACAGAAAATGCCATCTGACTAAAGACTAATTCACTATCCCACATTTGGCTTAGTTTCAGTAAGCTCCCAAAGACGTCATTCAAAACCAAAAAAGTGTGAGCAGTCCACACATTCTCCCCACCACGTCGCTTTCAAAGAAGACCGAACTAACCAAATGGGATCTATGAATTCTGATAGGAAATGTCATAATGGTATCACATCCTTTCTTCCACAGACTCTAAATAAGTGCAAGGAAAATAAATGACGTCACAATAGACACAGCACAAGGATAAGGAATTTTCCCCCGGCAAAGCCACAGGCGCAGAAGTCATCGACGACGCACGATCCATGGGGACAGCATAATGCAACAGCTGGTCGTCTGGCTGTAGCGCTACGTGGTGTCGCAGTATACACAAAAATACGAAGAAAATAGTGCGTGGAAACGGAACAGAGTCAAAGGGACAGGTGCCGTCCACCAAAAATTGTATGGCACATTCTAAATCACCGTGCGTCCACAATGATATGGATGTATTTAAATTCCGAAGATTTTGACCTCACCGTGCATTTACACGTACAATTAAACGACACAAAGTTACCGATTTTGTCCATGCAAGCCCAGGTTACGAAAACACCCAAGAACTTGCGGGCCGCTGCGGAGCGCTGACCTTGGTGTTCAGTGAATTACACGAGATAAGATAATAGTAACAGTCTTATATCTCAAAGAAAACACCGGGAGTATGGAGACAAAGATGCGTTGATGTTTCGGTAACATGCCTGTATCGAAACATACCCTTAAGTCATGTTGTCAAAATATGAACGCATCGATATCTCCAGTCTCCTGTTTCTCTTACAGAACTAAGACTATTACCACTGTCTTGTCTATGTGCGTAATGTTCCTCGCAAACACACTGAAAACCTTCCGCGAATTGCCTTTCAGCCATGGTCCCCAACCGAAAAGGTGCGAATCCTGTGTACGCCCCTGCTGTAAAAATGCTTTCCCTGAAGTTGGGGCAACCAGCATGACATATTCCATTGTCCCTCCCGCTCTAATCCCACAAAGCCATGAAAGGCTGACCCAATCATAACTTACGATTAATTTGAAAACACACCCAGTGAATGTCAGTGCCATGCCAAGCCTCAAACAGTGGCGAGCATCACACAACGAGGGCGAACGTCAAAGTGACACTTTTGGCCATCTTTCCTCCTTTAACCTCTCTGCGGGCCGACCAGCCGTTGCGCACAGCACGTACATTCAAAGAAGGCTCACAGCCAAAAAACCGGCCCGATGTCCCTCGCAGTGGCAGCAGATGTCTCCTCACACGTGCCCCCCCCCCCCGCCCACTGCCCCCACCGCCCCCACATCTCAGTTGGACCTAGCCGTCGCCCGTCCGCCGCCGCGTCACACCAGAGGCAGCATGCCGCCCGCGCAGACCGAGAAGCCGGACTCCGTGAGTGTCGCGCCGGAGGGAGGCGCGCGCCGGCCGCGGCCACCCACCTTCGAGACGCTGCTCGAGTCGGTGGGCGAGTTCGGGCTGTACCAGCGCGCGCTGTGCCTGGGCCTGATCGGATCGTCGACGCTGGTCTGCGCGCTCACCTACTATAGCCAGGTGCTGGTGCTGCTGGCTCCGCCGCTGCGCTGCGCCGGGGACGACGACGGCGCCGGCGAGGTGGATGTGTGCCGCGCCGCCGGCGCCGAGCCCGGCGGCGACGGCTCGGTCATCGCCTGCGGTCGCTGGAGCTATGACACACAACAACTCTTCGCCACCATCACGTCCGAGGTAAGACTAATGCCGGGGAAGAGCTGCTGGGCCCCAGTCCCCTGACGTTCGGCCTGACCAAACCGAACATTCAGTCTTCATTCGAAGAGGGGTTTGTTTGCGTGCGACCTGGATAGAAACTAGGCCACAGAGGAGACGTATGTGTTCTTTATCATCTCCCGTAATATCTGGGATCTAGGTATAGCCGAATTACATGGTGAAACGGCTGATCAATACATCCTTTCGTGAGATGGATCTGGAAATGACCTAGGCTGCTGTGGAGGCGTTTGCACTCTGCTCCAGCCTCCTAAGATAGATGTAGGGGCAACAACATTCGTTAAGAAGCCTCTAATCCATACCGGCTTTGTAGTTATCTAATTTCCGGCGTAAAGAAGGTCACTGAAAGAAAGCGCGTGTTGTGATCCGGCTGCCAAATCCAGGTGTAATCACGTGTAAATGTATTTGCGTGAATTATTTTCATAAAGGGATCAGATTTTTAGCTCAGATCCGGAGGCATCTTTTTCGGTTTGAAAGAGCGGCAGCTCCTCTTTAGTCCCTCTGAACAAGTTACTGACGCAACTCTCACAGCTGCTGCGTTTGTGTGTGCTCTTTCAGCGTCTGCGAGAAAAAAAAACGTTTTGAATAGTTGATAGCCAGTGCTGCATGAAAAATTCCCTAGTAATGTGGACGACTTTTCGCAATGCTTCTGGGATCATTGAGAGCCGCTCATAGGAATTTTTGGCAAATTCAACCTCCGGCTGCCAGGATGCCTGTCGGAAACCGGGTGTGACGCGCTGGCTATCAGGGACGTGTGAGAGTCACGAAAATGAAGCCAAATCTGTGACCCGTTTTTCTTGCGACAGCATGGGGTGAATTACTTACGATTTTAATGGGGGTCGGCCGATAATTGCCGCTCGTGCTTTATTCTCCCTCTTTATGTATGTGTGCCTGCGGGAAGTGGGTGTCTCCAATGTCTGAAAAAAATCCACTTTATCTCTTCATAAGGATATAGGGCAGTGCTAATCAAAACATGCCATGAACGCCGTCACAGCGTTCACCGAGTTTTTGCGATGCGGTCATGCGTCAAAGCTGTTGATGAGACGCACCAAAGCAGAAAAATAGATGACCAGGAACCACCATTTAACGCATTCTGGTATACTCAGCCCATGATATTATTTACTAAGACAACTTCAGCAATTGCCGAAATCTCAAATATTGTTCTCTAGATTTTCACCGCAGTTGAAGTGCTTTACAAATTTAAAATGCGTCAGAAAATCGTAGATGCTACCACTTCAAGCGCCAGATTTCCCTAATTTCGCCCGCTGCCACTTGCCAACGCTGTTATAATGTTACTGTGTTCACATGCTCGGCAGTGGCTCCAGAACACTCACCACGCTAAGAACCGGGCGTGTTGCATTGCCTTTTCAGCGTGCTTCGTTTTACTATGGCTGCATTTTTGAGTCTTTTCATCGCATTCCATACTCTTAAGTTTTTGCCCAATACGTTGTTTTTTTAAACATTTGAACGCCGGAAATTCAAGTCACGCATTTGACGGTCACTGCGGCTCAATTTCGCGCCGCAACAAATGAAAAGTTAATGCCGGTCGCCGGCCGCCGTAATTACGGCGCACGCGCGTTTCGCCGCTGCTCCTTTCCGTAAAAGGTAGGATAATTTTATAGTGTCCAAACACACGCAATGAATGCCACAAAGGTAACTGAAAATTTAGGCGCGATTGTAAAATACACCGGAGAGGTATCCTAAAAAAAAAAAAAACGTTAGGAGTGGGTTGCGTCAGCCCCGCCCCTATCACGGCAAGGACTAAATGATACCATGGCAACCCAGCTATCTAGTTTTCGCCTCCGTCGTTGAACCGACTGCGCTTTGCCCATCGCGTAACCTGTCTACCTTAAATACGGGGTCCAATTTAAGTTTAAAAAACATACTAAAATTTAGACCAAATGCTTACTAAGGAAACTGAAGCCGGGTATCAAGCAGCCCTACAGTCAAGCTGGCAAAGTATCTAACCCTGAATGATACACTGGGGCAAATCCCTAACCACTTTGAACAAAATAAAGCAGTGACCGCTCGACATCCCTTCATATTCGTTCAGAGCTGGGTGCTGGATGCAGGTTAATATGCACGCTAGTGAGGCCATGCTAATTACTTAAAAAGTGACTGCATAGTGTGATGGACACATTAACTCAGTTTGTTTCTAAAGCAAACTAAGTCAAACAGGTTCCTTACCACTTTTGGACCTGCCTCTAATCCGCTTGGTCTTACGGTCAAGCGGATGAGACCGCAAGCCGCAGCGGCACAGGAGTACCGTACGAAGCCATCAAAGGTTTACCACTGTAATAGTCGTGCTGCAGCTTGGAAATGTTACTCTTACAATGGTTAAATGTCCATTGCAGTTTTGTTGGTCATTCAGAACGTTTCAAAAAACGCCCACAGACACTTCTTTTCTGGACGCCGCCGACAGCGCCAGATTCGCTGCATTTCAGTTGTACTGTGTCGACGCTGCTGCGATGCTCTTATGTCACTCAGTAACTATTCCGAAATGCATTGCATGCTTCTACTATAAATGCTTTTTTACCGTGGCAGCGTTGCTAGATTATCAATAACCACATTGCCATGAGTCATATTGCCAGAACCTCTGCAACTTATTACTCACTGAAGATGATGGCCCACTCAAATTAAAAAAAGCGAAATGAAATAGAATAAAATGTACGCAGTTAACAACGCATTAATACATTATCATTGTTACTGTCGATCAGTGCTCCCGCCCGCAACGAACGAATGCACGGAAGACGGTTTCGACGTTTTACCTAAATATTCGGCGGCCGAGAGCAGCGGTCGATCAGTGGCACTTCGAAATCGTAAAAAGCAAAACAGTGTTCCCCTATATAAAGATGATGTTTGGACCGGATAGTGCACTCAACGAGAAATAAATTGGTCGTAAATACAAAAAGAAAAACAAAAACAGAAACGAATCGGCACTTGCGGTGATGAAAACTTTTTTGCGACCCTGGCGATAGTTTCGGCGACAAAGTGTTGCATTTGGCATCTTCTTTCGAAATACTGTCCTTCTCGGCTTGTCCGATGGTTACCAGCGCAGCCGTGCGTCGCACATACCTGGTGCTGGATACACGAGTTGCAGGCGGTGCATTTGCCGATGCTTTTGAGGACAGACTCACGCCCTCACCGGCTCCGACTGTCGCGCTGTGATACAAAACGTGTAAAACGGTCAAAACGGAAAGTCCGTCTTGACCGCTGCTGTGCACGTGACACGCGACATATCCAGCCCCACACGTGACGTCTCGCGACTCCGCGTTCAACTCGTCTTAATTTCGCGTCGCTCCAGCCAGCGGTTGCCGAGATGCGGCCATGGCTTCACATGACCGCTCACCGGCTGCGGCGTTAGCCTCCTTGTCCTGCCGCCCACGCCAAACCAACGGGCTTAAAAAGTTGGAGCATGTGCCACGCGCCGCCCGCTGATCGCACCGGCACGAAACTTGCCTTAGCACGGCGTCTCGTGCGCATGTGCGCCGTGTCAGAACTTTATTCTTTGGAGGCGATATCGAGGTTACACTCGTGGATGTGTCTTGTGGCGTCATTCAGGGACTTCAGACCTTTTGAGGCTAGCCAAAGATAGACGCTGTGGCACGCTGTGCCACGCTCGGCTGTCACCATCAGCGGCTGGATTGTCTCGACACCGCGCATGGTCCAGAAATGTCTGTCACCAACTTTAAACTGCCAGACGCAACACAGTTCAGAACATCGATGCATGAAGTCGTTAGTGGCACAGCCTCTGACCTCGGGCTCCTCGGGTGTCTCCCGTTTCGCAACCGGGCTACATCCTGCAAGATAGGACGCGCTGCACGGCGTGGTCATTAAACACTGGCCACGGCGCACGCGATGTTTACGGCGGCGTTTTCGGCCTACGCGGACGCCCGGCGGCGCACCAGGCGCCGCGCGCGCCGCGAGACTTGCGAGGTGCCGGGCGTCGGCCACCTGCCGGAAGTTTACCGACGCCAGGCCACTGTCAGAGAGCTGAGAGACGTGGCTCGTCATTTTGACAGTAGAGCGCCGCGCGGCGTGCTAAGTGCCGGCGGCGCCTGTATACTGACGCTTACCGTGATGCGCGTCTGAGAGCGGCGTAAACCGTTTAAACTGTTGTTTTAAACTGCTGTCAAACGGCTTTAATCGCACTTCACCTCATTTAGTGCTGAGAGGTAACAACGTAGGCAATGGAGTGAGATGAGAATGTAGAGCGATGAGATAACCATGGGCGCATCCAAAGAGGGGGAGGGGGGGGGGGGGCGCAACGACGGCACGCGCTCCCCATCCCTTCTAAAACGTGTACGGGTGGATAATATGGATATGTATGTATGTGCATAAATGTGGTCAGGTAAAAGGACGAGGTAGACACGTATAAATAACTAAATAAAACACATGTCATGTTGTACGCCATGTAACGCATTTTGTGCATCTCCGGCCCGCTAAAATGGGCTTTCGCTGAAACGTTTTGGGCTGCATCCCCTTATTGTAATGTCCTGCACGCACCCGTGAAGATGAATCACATTGGACAGACGGCAACACATTGATCCATCCCAGTTGGAAGAGTGTCATGAGAGAAATTTGCGGTGACATATGTTACATATTTTTTTTACGGTTGTTACAGACCGCAGATGTATGAGCAGATTCAAAAGCATCCTGAGAGTGATCCAATAGTCGTGCGTGAGCCGGGAACTGTGAAGCCAATAAGTCGGAGTGCACAAAAACACGCGCATTGGTGGTTTCCCACTTCTCAAAGCGCGCTAAGATATATGGTAAAGGTTGTAACTGGATTC